CTCTAACTACCCAGTTTAATTCCCACACTCTGGGTCATTGAGACCCTTCAGCTTTTCTTTGTTAATGAGAGATCTGAGGGGTTTCACCAAGAGGCATCCTTGATCAGTTTCACTAGTGTCTGAACTCTGAAGAAGGGTTCTGTGTTGGCAAACTGCAAGCTGGATTCAACTGCTGCTCCCAGAGGGAATTGTCACCATGGGGGTGAAGAAGCAGTGGAAACAGGAAACAACAAATTCCCTCTTCCTCCCTGCATTAGGATTCTTCACAGAGAACCAGAAGGATGTGTGTATACATAAGGAAAAAAATTATGTGGAATTGATTGATGTGGTTATGGAGGCTAGCAAGTCAAAAATCTGCAGGGTGGGCCAGCAGGCTAGAGACCCAGGAAAGCTCATGTCCCCGTTCCAGTCTGAAGGTTGTCTGCTGGGGGATTCTTTCTTGCCTGGGGGATGCCAGTCTTCTGTACAGATCTCAGTTGATCCGATTAGGCCCACCCACATTACGGATAATAATGTTTTCCTCAAAATCCACCAATTTAAATGTTAATCTCATCCAAAAACACTGTCCCAGAAACACCCAGAATAATGTCTGATTAAATACCTGGGCATCCTGTGGCCCAACCAAGTTGACACACAAAATTTATTATCACATTCCTCCAACACAGCAGCTTTGCTCTTAAATTTCTTAATGGCCAAACCTAATGGAACCAGCTGGCAAAGCGGAGAGTAGACTGGAGAGTTCCAACCCCATCATTTCAAAGTATGTATAGAAGGGTGAGTTTGAAGCAGAAAATAAGCTAATAACTGGTACAGCTTTCCTGAATTATTTATCTTAAAAATTACTAAGATGTTTGACACCAAGAATATTTGTTAAGGAAATTATGAGTGTTATGTTGTGGAAAAACATGTCACTTATAGGTGTAAATTTATGTCATAAGCAGTTGATTTTACTCATGGGTTTTGTAATAATTAGCTGTTGACAATTACCTTACCCATCTTGTAATGAACTAAAATTTAATAAAGGCTCCAAGAAGAGTGTCTCAAAATAGGGAATATAGTCAAAGGCATTTATTCAACATTTATTTTATAAGAAAGTTAATATATTTACTACATTGAATAGTAAATTTGTGATTTTAACAAAACAGCACAGAAACCTGATTTGCCTCAAATGGAGCAGTGACTCTGATAAGCCCCCAGAGCATAGGGGAAAGCAAACAGCAGACTCCTATAGTCCGGAATTTTAAAAGAATCAATTAAAAAGGAAGGTTGCCTCCATTTACATCCTATTGTTGAGCCATCTGTCTTTGTTGCTCAGTGATCTGGGGGCACATTAGTTCATGTCTTTTGCTATGAAATCTGTTTAAGCTAGTTAAGCAAGGAGAATGTGAAGGCAAATTCTGGTGCGCTAAGACCCCCATCCCTTAAGATCCAATCTGCACCGACCAGGTGGTCGCCCACCCCTTAAGACCCAATCACCAATGCAGACACACCCTACCCCTACTCCTTAAAAACACACTTCCTCACCCACTAGCTGCTGCTCCCTCCCTCTGAGGCAGCCACTCTCTCTTTCAGATAAACTCTCTTGCGGTGGGCCCATGTCTCCTGAGTCTCTCTGGGGTAAGGAGGGTCGCGGTGAGATACCCTTTCAGAATGTACACATCCAGATCTACAGATCCCTTTGTGACTTTAGGTTTGAATGAAAGTAGAAAAACAGACTGCCCTCAGGTATGTCCTTGAGGTCATTTAAAATAGCCGTGGGAGAGTCTCCTGACTGGAAGGAGTCTGAAGAATCACTTTGCATATAAGCCAATACTAAATACTGACGTCAGCAGCCCAAGAGAAGTCTACTTTTAGATTTACACAAGCTTTTCCATGTACTAGTTGCACACATGAATCTTACAGAAGTGAGTCATAAAAATTTTGAGAAAATCCACAAGTTTCCTTTTGATCCATTTATAAAAAATAATTACTCTATAGACATATAAGGTTCATAATCTGTAGCTGAGAAGCTCATTCTACCAAGTGTGAACATTAGTCTCCTGACTGGAAGGAGTCTGAAGAATCACTTTGCATATAAGCCAATACTAAATACTGACGTCAGCAGCCCAAGAGAAGTCTACTTTTAGATTTACACAAGCTTTTCCATGTACTAGTTGCACACATGAATCTTACAGAAGTGAGTCATAAAAATTTTGAGAAAATCCACAAGTTTCCTTTTGATCCATTTATAAAAAATAATTACTCTATAGACATATAAGGTTCATAATCTGTAGCTGAGAAGCTCATTCTACCAAGTGTGAACATAAGCAGCAACTTTTATATATTGAAAAAGAGGATTGAGTAGTGGCCGCACAGAAGAAGGAAGTCTGGTTGGAGTGCTGAGAACAAGCAGTTGGTGGCCCTGGGAGGATCTGTCTGAGGTGAGTAGGAAGTTTTACCACAATAATTCTAATTGTATGAGGTGGATTGTAGAATGTTCCAGTTGATAAGCCGTGGTCACTAGTATTGGAGTTAATGTCCAATTGCAGTGTTTTCCTGTCTTCAAATGTACGGAGTGCCCACTCAGAATCAGAAGGCTTAGAAGACAGCTCTGGGAATAATCAGCTCTGGAAGTACAGCTCTGGAGGTAATGATATTTAAAAAATATTTTTAGTGTGCAGCAGTATATGAACGAAAACGGACAACTCAGTTTCATAAAATGAGCTTCCCCTGAATCACTAGCCTGGCTCAGCACAAGAACTCTGCAGGAGGCTTAGAAGCCCCCTCCTGCCCTTCCCCAGTCACTTTCCCACAAAGTAAACCACATTTTCTGGTGGATGGTAATCACTTCTTGCATTTTTTAAAACCTTTTTACCACCTAAGCACACTCCCTTAAACATTACAGTTTTGCCTGTTTTTTTGTTTTGAGTGTTAGATGGACTCTGACCGAACGTACTCCTTTCTGTCTGGTTCCTTTTCATCTAAACTTCTGTTTGTGGGGTTTATCCCTGTTGTGCCCTGTAAGTCTGGGGAAAGAAAATCCGGGGACAAAATACGTCTAAAAACCGAAATCAGTCAAAGGGAGAAATAAAGTTTGAAACCCGTTTATTGCTTACAAAACTGCAGTTCAACCCCTCTCTGTCCAGCTCCAGTAGCAGCAAAACCGGCCCTCCCCTCACCTTTCAGGTACAGATAAGCCCTCCTGGCCCAGGTAATACCCATTGATACGGAGATGAACTTCTCCACTCCTGAGGAATGATGCAAATGCACTAACGCCCTATCTCTTTCCACCTCTGAATGCCTAGTGACATGCAGATGAACTAAAGCCAGGCGAGATATTCTGGAAATGTTACAATTTTATCCACAGTCCCCCTCGGGCTGGTTCATTTTCACATGGAAGTGTAGGTAGCCCAGGCGATCACAGAAGATCTGAGCAGGTTAGCTCTTCAAAAATCCTGACAAGAATGGAAAAAAGTGCCATTGGGAGGGAAATAGCTATTTTCCACCCTGCCCCACCACACACGCACACACTCTAAGCTTTCTCGGTTGCTAAGCCTCAGATTTGTTTTCATCTTTTCAGATGAGGTGGAAGGGAATGTTTTGGATGTGGAAATTTTGTTGAAGGAAGTAAATAGGACAGTCAACTCAGGAGAGTTGTAGGAGCTATTCGCAGAAGCCACGTCAGGCCCATATCTGTGGGGTCTGGTGGGGAACAAGGAAATGCTCAGGGAGGGAGAGGGAAAGATTCAGGAGTTCAGGGAACAAGCTCTGGATCCTGATTGTAGAGGAGCTAACCTGAGGAGTTGGTTAGAAAGTCAAGAACTGTGGGCTGATTTCCTCTTCACCAAGGCCAGTGTACCTGCCTCAGGACCAGTGCTGGGCTCTGTGGGTGGGCAGCTTGTGCAGTTACAGGACCTCAGGCTGAGAAGAGCCTCACACTTGCCCTAATGCCCTGCTCTCGCTGCCTTGAAATTTGGAATAATTCTGAACATTTTGCACTTGACCTGGAAAATTATGTGGCTGGTCCTGATCAGATCTCAAGGCAACCCCAATCAATACTTGGAAGGCCAGCACTGTAGCCCCACTGGTGAGTGGCTGAGAATCATCCAAGTGAGCTGAGAATTATCTGAGACTTGAGGGCAGCCCCCTTGGAAAACAAGAAAACATTTTGGTGGTTCCCCAAAATGTTAGAGTTACCATATGACCCATGTAAAATTGTCTCTTGTGGCTACTTTAAACATACAGAACATAAATACTGGAAACATTACAGAGAATGGAATTTTGGAAAACATGTCTCATCTTAGCCAAATTGGGTCAAGTTTTTTTCTGACTGTGGCATGTTATGTATCTTAACATGTTCAGAGAAGTTGCTTCTTCCTCCACAGTGGATTTAATTATAATATCAATGTAATGGACAAGTGTGACATCCTGTGGGTGGAGAGGTAATCAGAGTAACTGAACCAGCTTGTGACTAGGGTTCAATGTAATGGACAAGTGTGACATCCTGTGGGTGGAGAGGTAATCAGAGTAACTGAACCAGCTTGTGACTAGGGTTGTAGAGTTGATGTGGCCCTGAGGTAGGGCAGTGAAGATGTATCCGGCTAAAAGCAAACTGCTTTTGATGGTCTTTACTAACAGGTACAGACAAAAAAAAAGCATCACCAGATTAGTAACTGCAAATCAGGTACCAGATAATGTTGATTTGCTCAGCATCACAGCCACATGTGGAAATAGCAGCTGCACTTGGAGTCGCAACCTGATTAACCTGATGATAACCCACTGTCATTCTCTAAGGCCGTCTGTATTCCACACACACCACACAGGTGAGCTGAGTGGGGATGTGGTTTCCAGTCTCTGGTGGTGGCACTGATCTTGGCAGTCTCCACAGGAACACAGTATTGCTTTGGTTCACTGTTTTTGTCAAAGGACAGAGGCAGTTCTTGCGGCTTCCACTCGGCCTCTTCTGCCACAGCAGCTTTCACTCCATGGGTCAGGGGACCGGAGTGGGGGTTCTTCTGATTGTTTAGTGTATCTAGTCCAATCATGTATTCCAGACTGGAGAGATAATCACAGGATGGGTTCAGGAACCCACAAGGCCCACAGTGAGATGGATCTGAGCTAAAGCTCTGTTGACCACCTGACCTCTATATGCTCCTGCTCAGCGGACCACAGCAGCGTTTTGAGTCTCCTGAAATCAGGGTTAGTTCAGAACCAGGCCCTGGTGATCCCAGAAAAGTCTGTTTGCCCTTCCCGATTCATAGTTAAATGTCCCTGGTTGCCTCTGGGGAAGATGAGGAAGATTAGAAGTACAATTGTTTTTGGTTGTATCTTCAAAGGGACCTGCCTACCCTTTATTCAAGCAGCTCTGGGTCTGTGAATTAGCTTCAATCTGGAAATTGAGTAATGGATTGTAACTCTGTTTTACTGATTCAAGTCAGACCTCTCTGCAGTAGGCCCAGCACTTTTCCACTTACTCACATAAAGTAAAACTTAAGTAGGCAGCCCATCCATTTAGTTCTAGGGATGCCGTAAACGGACTGACCTAACAGACCTCTGCAGTCAGACTGCTCAGATCACTGCTCTGGCTCCATTACAGCGGCCACACCCACTGTGTATGGTGTTTGTGACCACAGGGCTGCCCCCTCGGGATTCCATCATCCCTTGCATTTAGAAATCCCAGTTCAGGGTTAGTGATTCCCAATATCTGTAGATTCCTTTGGTTTTTCTATGTAGATACATTTTACACCTGTAACTAATGGCAGTTTTGTTTCTTTCTTCCTGATGTTTATGCTTTTATTTCTTGTACACATGTTAGTGAACTGGCTAATTTTACAGTGCTGACTTCTCACCTGATTCCTGATTTTAAAGGGGGTGTGAGGGGCTGAAGCAGTTTCAGACACAAAAATAGGACACAAAGCTCTCTGTAAAGTTAGCCCCAGACCCTAGTCACATACCAACTTCTGAGAAATTAAAGGAAAAGATATAAATCCCATGTGAAACAGGATGCTCAACTAACCCCAGGCTATTTTTGCTTCTGTACATTGCTTTGTTAGAGACCAGCAGTATCACACGTTTCCTGCAGTAGGTGGGCAAAGCAGGATGCTTAAGCCCCCCCCACCGAGCATTAAACAAGGAATATAGCTTGCTGAATTTAGGCGAAGGTGGAAAAGTTGCAAAAACTAAGCAGGATGTGGTAAAAATGCTTAAAAGAATGTTGTAACAGGGACTATGGCTGCACTTGGAGAGCTTGCTCCTTGGCAGACGCCGGCCGGCCAAAATAAAGGCTCCCTTTTATTAAAATTTATTTGCATTGTGTGGGTAGCAAGATTGGGAAAAGCCTAAATTTCATCAGCAGAAAAAGAGGTAAATAAATGGGTTGTTTTTGGTACTTCATGAAATGAATGTGAACTAGAGTTATGTCTTCCAACATAGATTAATGATGCTGAGAAAGAGGCAGACACTACATTCAATATACCATTTACATAAAGTTAGGCGTACCATGTTATCTGTGGGCACATTATTTAAACTTATTTGTATTTCACTTTTTCTGTAAAATGGGACAACAGTGTCAACCTAACAGGGTTATTGGGGGTGGGGGGATGGTTAATAATGCATGTAAAGTGCTTAGAATAGTGGCTGGTATGTAAGCATTGTTGGTATGTAGTAAACAGTGTTGTGTTGTTTTGCACAATATATTTCCTGTGGGTTCAAATTGTATGAAGCAAGAGTATAAAATGTATTGGAGTGATGTGGGAAATTTATGCTCTGCCTTCCCAGGGCAGGAGTTGTCGATGGAATCAGGGAGGGTACATGGAGGCTTCAGTTGTGTTTTCTTTCCTTTAAAGAAGTTGATATAGATAGCCCAGCATGTTGATTTAACAGGATAGTGTGGTGAGTTCTTTAAAAAAATTTTTTTTAATCTGTTTGCTTAAAATATTTAAAAATAAAAATATTTTTAAGCATGGGCTCTGACACCTGCCACTTATGTGATATTACTTAGAGTGAGCCATGTAATCTCTCAAGGCTTGTTTCCTTACTTGCAAAAATAGGGAGCAACCGAAATGGCTGTTAGTGGAATGGTCAAACTGGTCTGATGCATCTACAGTGGACTACCCATGCAACAGTTAAAAAGAATGAGGATGTTCTCCATGTATTGATAGGTGATCTCCAAGACATTCAGTTTATAGGAAATAATGAGCTCTATTTCAATTCCTCTTCACCTTAAAGTAACAAACCAGAAGCTATAGATGCATGTTTAAGAAACAGGATCCTGTGGCTGCAGATGTGCAGTCAGCCATTCCATTTTATTAGGTGGGAGAGGAGAGG